ACTCTGATAGGGTCATGTAACACTAGGGTCATGTAACACTCTGGTAGAGTCATGTAACACTCTGATAGTCATGTCATGTAACACTCTGATAGGGTCATATAACACTCTGATAGGGTCATGTAACACTCTGATAGAGTCATGTAACACTCTGATAGAGTCATGTAACACTCTGATAGGGTCATGTAACACTCTGATAGGGTCATGTAACACTCTGATAGAGTCATGTAACACTCTGATAGGGTCATGTAACACTCTGATAGAGTCATGTAACACTCTGATAGGGTCATGTAACACTCTGATAGAGTCATGTAACTCTGATAGGGTCATGTAACACTCTGATAGGGTCATGTAACACTCTGATAGGGTCATATAACACTCTGATAGTCATGAACACTCTGATAGAGTCATGTAACACTCTGATAGAGTCATGTAACACTCTGATAGGGTCATCTGATAGAGTCATGTAACACTCTGATAGGGTCATGTAACACTCTGATAGGGTCATGTAACACTCTGATAGGGTCATGTAACACTCTGATAGAGTCATGTAACACTCTGATAGAGTCATGTAACACTGATAGAGTCATGTAACACTCTGATAGAGTCATGTAACACTCTGATAGGGTCATGTAACACTCTGATAGGGTCATGTAACACTCTGGTAGTCATGTAACACTCTGATAGAGTCATGTAACACTCTGATAGAGTCATGTAACACTCTGGTAGTGATAGGGTCATGTAACACTCTGATAGAGTCATGTAACACTCTGAGAGAGTCATGTAACACTCTGATAGGGTCATGTAACACTCTGATAGAGTCATGTAACAGGGTCATAGGGTCATGTAACACTCTGATAGAGTCATGTAACACTCAGAGTCATGTAACACTCTGATAGAGTCATGTAACACTCTGATAGGGTCATGTAACACTCTGATAGGGTCATGTAACACTCTGATAGGGTCATGTAACACTATGATAGGGTCATGTAACACTCTGATAGGGTCATGTAACACTCTGATAGAGTCATGTAACACTCTGATAGAGTCATGTAACACTCTGGTAGAGTCATGTAACACTCTGATAGAGTCATGTAACACTCTGATAGGGTCATGTAACACTCTGATAGAGTCATGTAACACTCTGATAGAGTCATGTAACACTCAGAGTCATGTAACACTCTGATAGAGTCATGTAACACTCTGATAGAGTCATGTAACACTCTGATAGAGTCATGTAACACTCTGATAGAGTCATGTAACACTCTGATAGCGTCATGTAACACTCTGATAGAGTCATGTAACACTCTGATAGGGTCATGTAACACTCTGTCATGTAACACTCTGATAGAGTCATGTAACACTCTGATAGAGTCATGTAACACTCTGATAGGGTCATGTAACACTCTGATAGGGTCATGTAACACTCTGATAGGGTCATGTAACACTCTGATAGAGTCATGTAACACTCTGATAGGGTCATGTAACACTCTGATAGAGTCATGTAACACTCTGATAGAGTCATGTAACACTCTGATAGGGTCATGTAACACTCTGGTAGAGTCATGTAACACTCTGATAGAGTCATGTAACACTCTGATAGAGTCATGTAAGTCACTCTGATAGAGTCATGTAACACTCTGATAGAGTCATGTAACACTCTGATAGGGTCATGTAACACTCTGATAGAGTCATGTAACACTCTGATAGAGTCATGTAACACTCTGATAGAGTCATGTAACACTCTGATAGGGTCATGTAACACTCTGATAGAGTCATTTAACACTCTGATAGGGTCATGTAACACTCTGATAGAGTCATGTAACACTCTGATAGAGTCATGTAACACTCTGATAGAGTCATGTAACACTCTGATAGAGTCATGTAACACTCTGATAGGGTCATATAACACTCTGATAGGTAACACTCTGATAGAGTCATGTAACACTCTGATAGTCATGTAACACTCTGATAGAGTCATGTAACACTCTGATAGAGTCATGTAACACTCTGATAGAGTCATGTAACACTCTGATAGAGTCATGTAACACTCTGATAGAGTCATGTAACACTCTGATAGGGTCATGTAACACTCTGATAGAGTCATGTAACACTCTGATAGAGTCATGTAACACTCTGATAGAGTCATGTAACACTCTGATAGAGTCATGTAACACTCTGGTAGTCATGTAACACTCTGATAGAGTCATGTAACACTCTGATAGAGTCATGTAACACTCTGATAGAGTCATGTAACACTCTGGTAGTCATGTAACACTCTGATAGAGTCATGTAACACTCTGATAGAGTGTCATGTAACACTCTGATAGTGTCATGTAACACTCTGATAGATGTAACACTCTGATAGAGTCATGTAGAGTCATGTAACACTCTGATAGAGTCATGTAACACTCTGATAGGGTCACACTCTGATAGAGTCATGTAACACTCTGATAGAGTCATGTAACACTCTGATAGAGTCATGTAACACTCTGATAGAGTCATGTAACACTCTGATAGAGTCATGTAACACTCTGATAGGGTCATGTAACACTCTGATAGGGTCATGTAACACTCTGATAGGGTCATGTAACACTCTGATAGAGTCATGTAACACTCTGATAGAGTCATGTAACACTCTGATAGGGTCATGTAACACTCTGGTAGAGTCATGTAACACTCTGATAGAGTCATGTAACACTCTGATAGAGTCATGTAACACTCTGATAGGGTCATGTAACACTCTGATAGAGTCATGTAACACTCTGATAGGGCCATGTAACACTGATAGGGTCATGTAACACTCTGGTAGAGTCATGTAACACTCTGATAGGGTCATGTAACATTCAGATAGGGTCATGTAACACTCTGGTAGTCATGTAACACTCTGATAGAGTCATGTAACACTCTGATAGAGTCATGTAACACTATGATAGAGTCATGTAACACTCTGATAGGGTCATGTAACACTCTGGTAGAGTCATGTAACACTTAGAGTCATGTAACACTCTGATAGAGTCATGTAACACTCTGATAGGGTCATGTAACACTCTGGTAGTCATGTAACACTCTGATAGAGTCATGTAACACTCTGATAGAGTCATGTAACACTCTGATAGAGTCATGTAACACTCTGATAGAGTCATGTAACACTCTGATAGGGTCATGTAACACTCTGGTAGAGTCATGTAACACTCTGATAGAGTCATGTAACACTCTGATAGAGTCATGTAACACTCTGATAGAGTCATGTAACACTCTGATAGGGTCATGTAACACTCTGATAGGGTCATGTAACACTCTGATAGAGTCATGTAACACTCTGATAGAGTCATGTAACACTGATAGAGTCATGTAACACTCTGATAGAGTCATGTAACACTCTGATAGGGTCATGTAACACTCTGATAGGGTCATGTAACACTCTGATAGGGTCATGTAACACTCTGATACAGTCATGTAACACTCTGATAGAGTCATGTAACACTCTGATAGGGTCATGTAACACTCTGGTAGAGTCATGTAACACTCTGATAGAGTCATGTAACACTCTGATAGAGTCATGTAACACTCTGATAGGGTCATGTAACACTCTGATAGAGTCATGTAACACTCTGTAACACTAGGAGTCATGTCATGTAACACTCTGATAGGGTCACGTAACACTCTGATAGGGTCATATCTGATAGGGTCATATAACACTCTGGTAGAGTCATGTAACACTCTGATACAGTCATGTAACACTCTGATAGGGTCATATAACACTCTGGTAGAGTCATGTAACACTCTGATAGGGTCATGTAACACTCTGATAGGGTCATGTAACACTCTGATAGGGTCATGTAACACTCTGGTAGTCATGTAACACTCTGATAGAGTCATGTAACACTCTGATAGGGTCATGTAACACTCTGATAGAGTCATGTAACACTCTGATAGAGTCATGTAACACTCTGATAGGGTCATGTAACACTCTGGTAGAGTCATGTAACACTCTGATAGGGTCATGTAACACTCTGGTAGAGTCATGTAACACTCTGATAGGGTCATGTAACACTCTGGTAGAGTCATGTAACACTCTGATAGGGTCATGTAACACTCTGATAGGGTCATGTAACACTCTGATAGAGTCATGTAACACTCTGATAGGGTCATGTAACACTCTGATAGAGTCATGTAACACTCTGATAGGGTCATGTAACACTCTGATAGAGTCATGTAACACTCTGATAGGGTCATGTAACACTCTGATAGGGTCATGTAACACTCTGATAGAGTCATGTAACACTCTGATAGTCATATAACACTCTGATAGGGTCATGTAACACTCTGATAGAGTCATGTAACACTCTGATAGGGTCATGTAACACTCTGATAGGGTCATGTAACACTCTGATAGGGTCATGTAACACTCTGGTAGTCATGTAACACTCTGATAGAGTCATGTAACACTCTGATAGGGTCATGTAACACTCTGATAGGGTCATGTAACACTCTGATAGGGTCATATAACACTCTGGTAGTCATGTAACACTCTGATAGAGTCATGTAACACTCTGATAGGGTCATGTAACACTCTGATAGGGTCATATAACACTCTGATAGGGTCATGTAACACTCTGATAGAGTCATTTAACACTCTGATATTATCATGTAACACTCTGATAGAGTCATGTAACACTCTGATAGGGTCATGTAACACTCTGATATTATCATGTAACACTATGATAGGGTCATGTAACACTCTGATATGGTCATGTAACACTCTGATATTATCATGTAACACTCCAGAATATCATTATATCCATTGTATAGCCCTTATTTGCAAATATATAAGTTCTGGTAGAGAAATGAAAATTAACACTGACAACCAATTTTCAAGACGACTTTTTCAAATGGACATCATCCATTAGCCATGACACTTTTGGAACTGAAATAAGAATGAATTAATCAGATATATTGATATATTGTAATGTAGTAATGTTAATGAGAGATAAACATACCACTCTCAATGTCCGCCTTTGACAGCTTTGGTAAGAATTCTGACTTACATCTGTCTATTACCAAAGAGCGCAATCTGGCACTGTAAAGAAATTCAGAAATAGTTCAATAATTATATGTAAGAGTATACATCTATGTCAAATCCAAGAAGTAGTAGTGTCGATGTTTTGTTGATGAACACAGATATACAGATACTCAATGTTACATTATGTTGGACGCGGAAATTGTATCTTATTATTAATTCTTACCTCCGTGGACTGTCAGCCATTAGACGAGATAAACTAGTATACAAAATGGCCGATGTGCTGTACCCATCATACTTATCCAAGCGGAACGTTGTTCCACACATTGCCTCCAATCTTGATAAACTCTCACTGGAATACAAATTACAAAGTGAACAATTCAATAAAAATTTACTAAAAATTTATCATATTAAGAGTTTTTAAATTGACATTTTTTTTGAGGTTTTGTGACTGCATCTGTTACAAAACAGTGGATCAAACTGTGGTTGTCAAAAAATTGGGCTGATATATCTAATTTAAAATCAACCTTCAACAAAGGATAAAGACTTCATTGAAATCCAGGATCAAACCAATGAGTTCATGGTACCTTTCTGTAACTAGCGTCAACGTGTTCTCTGTAATTTTCTCTAATGTCCCCATACAGACAGCAATCATACTTGGTTCTTCTGAGCTGACAATGACATAGTCGCCAGTCATTAATCCCACCGTTCTCAGGTCCCTGGAAAGTCCTCTAAAACATGCAAATTTACATTATTGCCTAAATATAAAAGGCAAATTAGCAAGAATCACATTTTAATGAAAAATACTACATGAACACCTGGAATATATCTGGTAAGTAGATCTATTGTGAGTTGAAGATAATCAGAGGTTTTTTTTTTAAATATTCCCACTAGCCTAAATCTAGACCATGTACACCACATATCATTAATGATTAAGCTAGATTGTGAGTTTTTGTATTTCACGATATCATGTGAGTCATTTTATATTCAACATCTACACAGAACAAATCAGAAAATGACTAACCTATAACATAGGAAGAGACTTCCTATTAAAATATTTGTTTCAACACAAAAATAATGAATCACTTCATTTTGTACCTAATTCATTGGCTGGATCTCTTAATCCAAAATGATACAATGTGGAATTTCCAAAGTTGATTGTACCTGTTTTTCGACCAATTTCTTGTGAATGTAATTCGGCACATTTCAGTGTCATTGGATGTTTGATCAGTCAGAGCAGAGGTAGAGGCTGCATCTTCATCTTTCCGTAAAGTCAATTGGCAGATACATTCCCCAACAGTTTCTCTACCAACAGATCAAGTGGTCATTAATTTTCCATCAATATTCCTGTATTACTGTATATTTATATGTCAAGGGGAGATAACACTGATCACAACTCTATCTGATCAGTTTTAAAAAACATTTTGTTTACTTTTTTTCTTCACAGCAATAAATAAGAGCCAAAAAAAACATGGATCTAGGATAATGACAAAACTCAGAGTAATGAAAGTTAGATACAGCATAAAGATAGGAATTTATCCTTTACACAGATACATGATAGAAAAAAAGTATATCAAAAACAAGAGGCCCTGGTATTCAATGTTCATCAAAAATACAATCAATGTTAATTACAGATACATAAGCACATACAACATTGGCATTCAAAGTGGTCACATCCAAGTACCACAATAAACTTTAGCTTCTAAAACTCAGCTTAAAAAATTGACAATTATGACATGGATTATAGGTGATGTCATTTCTTTTCCTTTTTTTTTCTTTTTTATTTTTCTCATAATTTGTGGAGAATTTACTCAGAAACACCTTATCCTGTTTCTCAGACTTTTGGTTTTCCAGAAGAAACATTTCACATATTTTGAACAATTTGATCACTGTAATCATGAATATTCTTCAAGGTTACTTCTTTTCACAAAGTTTCTCAGTCTTCATCCCAAAAATCTACCTCCTAAATATCATGGTTCTAGGCCTTTTGGTTGTAATCAGAAGAAAATGTTTAAAGGTTTCAACAAACTTGACCCCTGTGACCTTGAATATGGCTCAAGGTAATCTCACTTGACCCTTCAGGTCAGATCGACTAAAAATCTTCTAACTACACTACCTGTATATAACCTCACCTTTGTGGTCCAGACCTACATCTCTAAACCAGATTTTCCTCAGACCCCACTGTATATAACCTCACCTTTGTGGTCCAGACCTACATCTCTAAACCAGATTTTCCTCAGACCCCACTGTATATAACCTCACCTTTGTGGTCCAGACCTACATCTCTAAACCAGATTTTCCTCAGACCCCACTGTATATAACCTCACCTTTGTGGTCCAGTCCTACACCAGATCTTCCTCAGACCCCGCTGTATATAACCTCACCTTTGTGGTCCAGTCCTACACCAGATCTTCCTCAGACCCCGCTGTATATAACCTCACCTTTGTGGTCCAGTCCTACACCAGATCTTCCTCAGACCCCGCTGTATATAACCTCACCTTTGTGGTCCAGTCCTACACCAGATCTTCCTCAGACCCCGCTGTATATAACCTCACCTTTGTGGTCCAGTCCTACACCAGATCTTCCTCAGACCCCGCTGTATATAACCTCACCTTTGTGGTCCAGTCCTACACCAGATCTTCCTCAGACCCCGCTGTATATAACCTCACCTTTGTGGTCCAGTCCTACACCAGATCTTCCTCAGACCCCGCTGTATATAACCTCACCTTTGTGGTCCAGTCCTACACCAGATCTTCCTCAGACCCCGCTGTATATAACCTCACCTTTGTGGTCCAGTCCTACACCAGATCTTCCTCAGACCCCGCTGTATATAACCTCACCTTTGTGGTCCAGTCCTACACCAGATCTTCCTCAGACCCCGCTGTATATAACCTCACCTTTGTGGTCCAGTCCTACACCAGATCTTCCTCAGACCCCGCTGTATATAACCTCACCTTTGTGGTCCAGTCCTACACCAGATCTTCCTCAGACCCCGCTGTATATAACCTCACCTTTGTGGTCCAGTCCTACACCAGATCTTCCTCAGACCCCACTGTATATAACCTCACCTTTGTGGTCCAGTCCTACACCAGATCTTCCTCAGACCCCGCTGTATATAACCTCACCTTTGTGGTCCAGTCCTACACCAGATCTTCCTCAGACCCCGCTGTATATAACCTCACATTCCAGTCCTACAACAGATCTTCCTCAGACCCCACTGTATGTAACCTCACCTTTGTGGTCCAGTCCTACACCAGATTTTCCTCAGACCGGACTGTATGTTTGCTTGAGATTCTAGGTCCAGCATGAGACACCAGCGTGTGAAGTAATCGAGGTGAGATGGAGACAGATGGGCCAGTGATTCCGGGACAAGCGTTGACATTGCATGATTGGATGATATGTCATGTTTCTCTACCCTACAAGAAAAAAAACTTATCTTTCATTTAGCAATAAAAGAAATAGGTCTTGATGAAAATTAAGGAGCAATTTTACAGTCGTCATAGTGATCTATAATATTAAATTCTTTGTGCAACAGGAAGCTTGGCTTATTTGATGTTCGTTAGTTTGTCAGTTGGTTCTGTTTTTGTAAACCTTATTCTCATTTGAAAATGTGACATTATTTACTTGGATAAGCCCAGATATAAATGACAGGTGTAGTCGATGAAGCAGAAGATGCTTACTCTTCTAGAACACCTGGTCTTATTATCCTTGTACTTTTTCAGAAGTCTCCTCATAAATCTTTCTTTTGTTCAAATTTTGCCCCAGTTTGATTGAATTTGAGTTCCAATTATAAATATATTGGCATGCTTTTACCTGTTGTTATCTAAAAGATATTTAAATGCTTACACAGTTACATCCTCTGACCTTGAAAGTAGGTCAAGGTCATTTATCTAAACAGATTTTTTTTTGTCTTTCATTCCAAAATGCTTGAGGCCCAAAATCTTGACTCTGAGCCTTTTGTTTGTTAAGAAAAAGGTTTCAGATGATTGACTTTTCTGATCTAGTAAGTGGGACAAGGTCATTCATTTTATTTGGTTTGGTTTACTGTTGCTTTGGGTCCTATAAACAGCCAGGGTCATTTAATGACTTTCCAAGTTTGGGTGTCATAGTAATGCCAGAGTGATACATGCAGTTGGACACCTTCCTGTCACCTTACAAACTTGACAGCCCTTCATCCTAGTATGCCACTGGATCATTATCAAGACTCTGGGACGCCTGTTTATTTAGGAGAGGTTGTTTAAAGGAAAGCGATAACAGATGGACAGACATATAAACAGATGGACAGACTTATAAACAGATGGACAGACATGTAAGTTTGGTACAACTTCAGTACTTCATTGATAGAGTTATAACACTAGGATAGCTGTAACTTTAGCCATGACAGCTAAATATATGGAGATTAACATCCTCACAACAGCCAGGGTTATAAAAAGACAGGTGTCATGGCGGACACCAAGGGAGGGAAATAAAGATTAACATCCTCACAACAGCCAGGGTTATATAAAGACAGGTGTCAAGACAGACATCAAGAGAGAGAAAAAAAGATTAACATTCTCACAACAGCCAGGGTTATATAAAGACAGGTGTCAAGACGGACATCAAGGGAAGAAAATAAAGAACAGAAAGAAAGTCAGTTGAACCCCACATTTAGTGACCTACAACAATGATACAGTGAACTACAGCAGATCTTCTTTCTGAGCTTTTTGATTCCCCCATTATAACAGAAGGCATTAGATAAACCACTCTTGATCTGTAGAGAGAGTAACCCACAATAAGATGCCACTTACAAAAATCTTGACTATCTGTCTCCTAGATCTGTAGAGAGGGTAACCCTCAATACGATGCCGCTAACAAAAATCTTGACTATCTGTCTCCACAGAGTAAAGTTATCTGTCTATACAGGGGCTGCAATAGCTCAGTCGGTTTGACTGTTGGTCTATATACAGTTCCAGATGAAGGCCCATGATTTGATGATCCCATGCTTGTGTTTCTCAGGAAGCTGTGAAACATATCTGTCTGTGATGACATGGTTGTGTCCTTAGGCATGACACTAAATTTACCCTGATTGCTGCGGATGGCATGTGATGGGACTCCCATATGTTGTTCAATGAGGGAGTCACCGGCTAATAAAGGAGACCCTGCCTCAAAATGTCCCTGGCTGTTCTTGAGGCAATAAACCTTACAAACAAACTTACTAAATCTGACAGACAAGTATCTCTTGGTAAACACAGAAATCAAAAATATCTATCCAGTGGTTGTCTGTCTATATACTCAACTAACCTTTCTATATTTCCAAGTCAAACATCTTAATACAAACATAAGGTAAACAAGTATATCTTTCCTATTCTTGAGTCTTTCTAATTTCTAAATTTACGAGACCAGCATTTCCACATTAACACTGGGTCCAGGTGAAAAATAGATCTTTTCTGTTATTAAATATCTGTCTGCTTATACTCAATTAATCTTTCTAAAAACCATTACACTGGGATATTGTGTAATTCCAACAAAATATTGATTCATTTTTGCGACAGACACTTTTTATCAATATCTGTTGTGTATTTAACAAAAAAAGTAAAGGCAATGTCAGCTCACAGTGTGATAAGTGGGGCACAAAGTGGGGGAATACAAAAATGTCTGCTGGGCGATGAAAGAAAATATAAAAATTAATCCAAGTAAGTTCAAATCACAACTTGTGATCAAAAATTATTTGAATTAAATTTTTTTGTATCACATATACATGTCACTTATAGCAGACATAATGAAGACAACTGAACTTTACTTTAAGATAATATTAAATATGTCAAGAGATGTTTTATACATACACTACTGGAAAATACCTGTCAGATAAATTGAAGGTGTAACATAATCATTTATATAACTATATAAAGTTTAATGAGTATGAGAGAAGAATTCACCAACATTTTCAAATCTTCACAGGAACATAGAGAGGTGTTTTACACATAGCTACAAGAAAATACCTGACATGCTTTGTAAACCTGACACAGACTGACCTACTAAACATCAGACAATCTATCTGTGTACTGATCTGTTGATAATGATATCACAAACTAGAAAGGAACAGAAAGAGAGAGCACACGATCATTCCTTTGGGTGTAAGTACTAACATATGTTTTGTTGTTGACATTACTTACAGAAGAATTTTGTCTAAACATTTAAATGACAGACTTCAAATTGTAATCAAACCTGAACCTGGATATTTTTTTTAGAAAGAGTAAAATTTACAAGCATGGAAAGAGTGAAGTGAATTGTGACTGTGAATTCAAAGGCTTGACACATACCGACTAGTGGAAATTAAAATTTTGATTCTTGAGATGGAAAACTTGGATTTATCATCACTGTAACCCTGTGACATCAGCAATCATCAGGAAGCTATTCTCTTGCATTTTTGCAATCATCAGATTATTAAACATTTCATTAAAATGGCAGTTCAAATTCCTGTCCATATGAAAGATCAGAAAACCTGCATGTATCACAAAGGGAGACAACTGGAGTTTTACTGTGAAAATTGTAAAGAACTAGTTTGTCCAAGATGTCTTTCTTCTGTTCACAAGAAACATGCAGTTTGTGAGCTCAGTGAAATCATTCCTCAAAAAGAGCGCAATATTAAAAACTTTATAGACAGAACAGAACAAAATGATCTTATACAAGTTGAGAAATACATAAAATCTTCTGATACACTCCTCCAAGACAACACTAAAACATTTGATAAATTATCACGTCAATTAAAAATACAAACGGAGAAGTTAAAACATGACCTTGACATGCTGTCAACACAGACACTTTCCCTCTATCAAAAGATGGAAGAGGACAATACCAAGCTAATACAGAAATACAGACACGACCTGGAGATGTACGATAAACAACTCAAACAACAAATACGGGAATGTAAGGCCGTGCTTCAGCGCGGTTCTCCCATACAAATTTATGACAAATCTTGTGAAATCCATTCTCCTACCAGTCTTCCTGTAAAACCTGTCCTGGATACTGCCAGCTTCACTCCAAACAAAAATCCTCAAGGTCACCTAGAAGTAGCCTTAGGGAAAGTTGTCTCCTTAGGTCAAGGTCAAACATCAGAGGACCAGGGACAATCCTCTAAACAACAACAAACAGAAATAAAAGGGAAGAAAGGATTGACAGAAAATAAACTACTGTCAGAGACCAAAGTGGTAGAGGAGTGGAAGTTTCCATGTCGTATTTACTCTATATGTCCCACCACTGATGGTCAGGTGTGGACCAGCTGTTACAGGGACACATTGACTCTCCTGGACAGGACAGGTGAAGTAATACAAGCGGTCAAGCACAAGGTTGGTATTAATGACATCAGTCTATCACCTACGACACACAAACTGTGGGTCTGTGATGGGGAAAACAACATCATGGAGCTTATATCAGGCCGACTTACACGAAGATTTAAACCCAAAGAGACACCTAGGTCTTTATGTGTTACAGCCAGTAATCATATCATTTTGGGTTTGGACAAACGCATCTGCAAATTTACCACACAAGGTCAAATGGTGCTCACTACATTTGTGTATTCACCACAGGAGATTTCTGAGTGTCCGGTCACTCATAATGTTGCAGTGATTGATAACGGCAAGGAAAGTGACGATGGAGATGGAAACAAACATGTTGTTGTCATGGATACTGACTTCCAGGGAGTGTTTGTATATAGAGGTAACATCCCCAGTACATATAAACAAACACCACTAACAGGTGGTGAACCATTTAACCCCTGGGGTACTGTATATGACAATGTGGGAAACCTCATTATAGGGGACAAGAACAACTGTAGGGTTCTACTTGTCAGTGGAGGTGGCATATTCCTCCAAATCATATACACTGACATCAACTCAATATCTGCTGTGGGTGTAGACAACAAGGATTTTCTATGGGCAGTGTTTGGGCAAAGATGTGTAAAATTACTGAAATACATTAACAGGGTGTGACAGCTGACACTATAAACAAAACTTCTACAGTACAGCAGTGTGTGACAGCTGTAAACAAAACTACTACAGCACAGCAGTATGTGACAGCTGTACACAAAACTACTACAGTACAGCAGTGTGTGAGAGCTGTACAATGACTTCTACAGCACAGCAGTGTGTGAGAGCTGTACACAAAACTACTACAGTACAGCAGTGTGTGACAGCTGTACACAAAACTACTACAGTACAGCAGTGTGTGAGAGCTGTACAATGACTTCTACAGCACAGCAGTATGTGACAGCTGTACACAAAACTACTACAGTACAGCAGTGTGTGAGAGCTGTACACAAAACTACTACAGTACAGCAGTGTGTGACAGCTGTACACAAAACTACTACAGTACAGCTGTGTGTGACAGCTGTACACAAAACTACTACAGTACAGCAGTGTGTGAGAGCTGTACAATGACTTCTACAGCACAGCAGTATGTGACAGCTGTACACAAAACTACTACAGTACAGCAGTGTGTGAGAGCTGTACACAAAACTACTACAGTACAGCAGTGTGTGACAGCTGTACACAAAACTACTACAGTACAGCTGTGTGTGACAGCTGTACACAAAACTACTACAGTACAGCAGTGTGTGGCAGCTATACACAAACTACTACAGTACAGCAGTGTGTGGCAGCTGTACAATGACTTCTACAGCACAGCAGTGTGTGGCAGCTTACACAAACTACTACAGTACAGCAGTGTGTGACTGCTGTACAATGACTTCTACAGTACAGCAGTGTGTGGCAGCTATACACAAACTACTACAGTACAGCAGTGAGTGACAGCTGTACACAAAACTACTACAGTACAGCAGTGTGTGACAGCTGTACAATGACTTCTACAGTACAGCAGTGTGTGGCAGCTGTACACAATACTACCACAGTACAGCAGTGTGTGACAGCTGTACACAAAACTACTACAGTACAGCAGTGTGTGACAGCTGTAAACAAAACTACTACAGTACAGCAGTGTGTGACAGCTGTACACAAAACTACTACAGTACAGCAGTGTGTGAGAGCTGTACAATGACTTCTACAGCACAGCAGTGTGTGGCAGCTGTACACAAACTACTACAGTACAGCAGTGTGTGACAGCTGTACACAAAACTACTACAGTACAGCAGTGTGTGACAGCTGTAAACAAAACTACTACAGTACAGCAGTGTGTGACAGCTGTACAATGACTTCTACAGTACAGCAGTGTGTGACAGCTGTACACAAAACTACTACAGTACAGCAGTGTGTGACAGCTGTACAATGACTTCTACAGCACAGCAGTGTGTGGCAGCTGTACACAAACTACTACAGTACAGCAGTGTGTGACAGCTGTACACAAAACTACTACAGTACAGCAGTGTGTGACAGCTGTAAACAAAACTACTACAGTACAGCAGTGTGTGACAGCTGTACAATGACTTCTACAGTACAGCAGTGTGTGACAGCTGTACACAAAACTACTACAGTACAGCAGTGTGTGACAGCTGTACAATGACTTCTACAGTACAGCAGTGTGTGGCAGCTGTACACAAAGCTACTACAGTACAGCTGTGTGTGGCAGCTGTACACAAAACTACTACAGTACAGCAGTGTGTGGCAACTGTACACAAAACTACTACAGTACAGCAGTGTGTGACAGCTGTACACAAATCTACTACAGTACAGCTGTGTGTGACAGCTGTACACAAAACTACTACAGTACAGCAGTGAGTGACAGCTGTACACAAAACTACTACAGTAGAGCAGTGTGTGACAGCTGTACACAAAACTACTACAGTACAGCAGTGTGTGACAGCTGTACACAAAACTACTACAGTACAGCTGTGTGTGAGAGCTGTACACAAAACTACTACAGTACAGCTGTGTGTGACACCTGTACACAAAACTATTACAGTACAGCAGTGAGTGACAGCTGTACACAAAACTACTACAGTACAGCAATGTGTGACAGCTGTACACAAAACTACTACAGTACAGCAGTGAGTGAGAGCTGTACACAAAACTACTACAGTACAGCTGTGTGTAACAGCTGTACACAAAACTACTACAGTACAGCTGTGTGTGACAGCTGTACACAAAACTACTACAGTACAGCGGTGTGTGACTGCTGTACAATGACTTCTACAGTACAGCAGTGTGTGGCAGCTATACACAAACTACTACAGTACAGCAGTGTGTGACAGCTGTACACAAAACTACTACAGTACAGCAGTGTGTGACAGCTGTACACAAAACTACCACAGTACAGCAGTGTGTGACAGCTGTACACAAAACTACTAGAGTACAGTTGTGTGTGACACATGAAGAAAATTTGTTGTGTTCAGTCACCTGTGCAAGAGTTGTACAGCATACCACTAGATCGTGTGTAGTCATAGTGACCGCTGCCAGATCACTGCACCGGGGTGTTCTCCTGTCGAACTTTTATCAGAGTATGGGAATGGTGAAATTGAATGAAGTACTTCTGTATTAACCAATATTTATACATGACAAGTTCTATACAAAGAGAAACACCATCTTGTATGGTAGACAAGTGGTCACAACCAAGTTATCATATTAAATATTAATGGTTCATGAGAAGAAAAAAAAAAAATTCAATATTCAAATTTAAATTTTATCTGTAACGTTGGGGCCATTGTCCATCAATACATCTGTATAAATATGGCACAAATTTCAGTTTAATCAGTCAAGTGATGCACATGAAAGTGAATTGAGAGAAGTATGCATATGTTTCTGTTTTCAGATTACAATATTTAATTGCTGTTAAATCAATGAGTCTACTAACACAAATAGCGAGCTGTATGTTATAATTACTCATCATGTGACAGCAAATCTTCATTTTTATTGGCAAATTATTGGAATTGTATAAAACACATAAATACACAATTAGCAGTGCATGTCATATCAAGAATACATGGGTTATAAGGTATTTTTAGGTAAACATCACTGTTGATATCAAGCAGACATTCACTGAATCATCCACTTTATTGGACTACAATGAATAACAAGAACTTTCTCGTTGAAAATTTAATTCATTTATACTTATCTATGAAAATAAAACTTACTAAGACAATGAAAGACATTTATAAATTCCTATATTAATTGTAAATACTATAAATACATATTGAAAACAGCATTATACTGACAACTTCATCTTTATGTAATCAAGGGAGAAAACTCCCGCTAGAATGGCCAATTGACTTAACTCTGCAGTCTGGAAAACTTCGCACAATTTTGCTAAGAACAAAGGTGTATGGATTATTGAGGGTCTACTGTATATGATATGCTGTACAGATTGCACAAACTACAGTCAGTAATATATTCATATTTATTTTGGAATGTACTATAATTGGGAAAACACACCTATATCCCCTTTGGGCTCAGTCTCTGTGCCACCAAACTGGATCCGAGGGTCTGCTTATACAGACATGAGTCCCGTTGACAAAGATTGCTTCAGGCTAAATGGTCACTACCACCTTATCAAAACAGAAAAGGGATTTGTTTTTCTATTTCCAGTATATAGTCCTGACTCACTTCACCTTGGGAATGCAACTGAGCAAATCATCTCCCCTATTACAGATATTCTGCTCTCTATCTAGAAATTACAGGCAAAACTCACTTCTGAAATGCTGCACAGTGGAGAAGATGGGGACACTTGGGGCAGGCTCTGGAGTTGTTTATCGGGTCAGGAAGGCGACCAAAACTGTACACTGTGTTTCCATCTTCTGTTGATTGCTTCACCTGCTGATCCAGGTAAAAGGCCATCTCATTCCTCAGCTGAATCAAACCTAACGTTAGAACAAATAAAAAAAAATCTAAAGTTAAACAAACTTTTAGTAAAACAAAGTCAAAATAAACAGGGTAAAATAAATCAATTGAAGGAAGAATTTGATGGTCAGGTAACATGACAATAATAACTCACCTCTCTGACTAAGATGGTCGGCAGGAATGAGCTTCATACTCGGCTCCTTAAGGTATAAAAGAAGTCCCTGTTTGGGGTCAACACGTCGATCAGAACTCATCATGCTGTACAGAGTTACCTGCCCTTTGTGCTCGAGTGAGAATGATGGACGACCAGTTTTCAATTCAAGAGGTATTGTTAATTTTTCACCAAGACCTGGTTTGGATTTTTTCTGTGAAGAGATAATTGTTGCCATTAGAAATCCCAAATGGATCTTTCCACCCAACATCATTTGGTCCATTGTTGTTCTTTAAATGAAATTTGAAAATTCCTCTTCAGTAATAGTCAAAAACATCTTAAAGCTATCAAATTCAATATGATCACATGGCAACCATTGTGTCTTTCTGACCAGTCCAGAAATCAGAAGGGCACAACTTGTGATAAAGGGAAACATACACACCAAAGATCCATGCACCATTTCCCAAGAAGTATGGATAACAATGTGAAAATTCAAGATGGTTGCCTATCAGTGATGTTTTTTTTAATCAGTCTAAAATTCAAATTGACATATTTGGGACCACCGGAAGATGTACATCCGGTCAATACCTCTTAAGAAATAGCCATAAAAAATTTTGGTGTCAAATCCAAGATGGCCATCTGTCAGCCATTTTGTTTTGTTGATCAGTCTCTAAATCAAAAGGCACAACTAGGACCAATGGGAAACTTACAAGTGAAATTTGAGGATGCACAAGCAGACAACAGACTATGGAAGAATGACAATTTTTAATTGTGTGTTTGTGAAAAATATTAACCTAAAATGAAAGTCAGGTGATTGTTACATTTAACTGGAATACTGATATGTCAGCAAGGGTCCCACTCTGCGCCTGAACAGGACGGAATATCTCCACTATAAACACCAGGCAAAAGCAACCATCTTTTATAACAACCTAATATGATGTATCATATACAGTCTATTCCAGGTTCTATTCATAGTAACAGTGACCTAGACCTTCACCTTGGGATTTTTTTAAATCTCAATTGCACATCTGCACATCACTATGTGATGTTTCACTCAATATGTGAAATTTTCAAAATTTTAGCATTATCAATTCTCAGAAAGTTTCAGGAAATGAAAGTGTTGCTGGATAAAAGGACATGGTGTAACTATGAATTAGATACTTTGAGGAGTTTGTCAGATTACTGGCAAATATTTCAAGCTTTTTATTTCAAAAGTGGTCAAGTGTGACCTTTGACCATTTATTTATAGCAGTTGAGTCCCTGTAGTAACATCACTCACCTTCACTTCCACTGTAAGATCTATCTTTCCTTTCAAACCCAATCTGTAATCAACAACAACAGCTGTGTATGACATCAGCTACAACTTCTGGTGAGTAAGGCATTGACGACAACTTCAAACAAGTATCACATCAATGTCAACTTCAGACCCGTTTTGTCAGACTGACCTTACAGTTCGGACTACAAACATACACTTTAGTTTCCTTAGCTACCATTTACTGCTTACCATGGAGACCAAATACTTGTTACCTTGGAAATAAAAGCATGCATTAGTTTCCATAGAGAACATGTAAAGAGACCACACTCCAGTTACCTTGAGATAATCAATTAGTTACCTTGGAGACCAGATGTTCTCCTCAATGTCCTTGACCTTTGTGATGAGAATGTCATCGCTCTGCTTCTTCCTGGAAATAGGGAAGGCCAATCACATTAATTACACTATCTGAGAATTGAGTTTACGTCCGGATGAGTTTATCCAATCATATGTGACATTAGACATTTGTATTCCCGAACACAACAACTGTACTTACATCTGTGCTCCAAACACTGCCTGACCAATGCTGGTGTACTCCTGTATCCACTTTTAAGTCTTACTTACATCTGTGCTCCAAACACTGCCTGACCACTGTTGTTGTACTCCTGTATCCACTGTTAAGTCTTACTTACATCTGTGCTCCAAACACTGCCTGACCACTGTTGGTGTACTGTTGTATCCACAGCTTCAGTCTTACTTACATCTGTTCTCCAAACACTGCCTGACCACTGTTGTTGTACTCCTGTATCCACTGTTAAGTCTTACTTACATCTGTGCTCCAAGCACTGCCTGGCCACTGCTGGTGTACTCCTGTGTCCACAGCTTCAGTCTTACTTACTGTGGATTCATTTTATTTCGTGGGGGTCCAATTTTCGTTGTTTTCGTGGATGAGCAAATCCACGAATTTAAAAACACAACGAAATATGAACTACTTACTAAAGTAATTTTGAAATTTGACCAAGTAATCTTTGCCGACACCGGAAACGTCCACCGGTAATGACAGAAGCCCCGTAATTAGTCGGGAGTCGGGTAGTCTGAGGCTCGACATGGATACGCTAAATTGGTGTCAACGATATATAATTATATATTATTAAACATAACAAAGGGTAAGTACCCATTGTGATGCTAAGTATGATGGGATCGCAGTCGTTAGCGACACTGTGGACACTAGGCTTGATCGGACCATCCTGTCGATTGAAGATTGGATCCCTATTTTTTATCCGACTACAGGTTCACAATAATTATTAATAATGCAGATCTTGTTTACACACCTGTTTACACACATGGTCCAATCGATACGCGTGGTGTTTTCATATGACTGCGGTACACCGACTGATCAGCACACAATGTTTATCCACTGAAAACAATTGTTTCTGATAATTACCGATTGATTACACGCCAGGATATATACTGATTTGTGGTTTGATATTAATGCGAGACTGTTATACAGCGTTATAAAAACACAGGACGCCATCATTGAAAAAAACGTTCTTTTATTCTTGTCTTAGCCTTAATACAAACAGAAAAAATTTCGACTGGAAGCAAAAAGAGAAAATTCTAACGTTTTTATTTTTTTCCCACAGAATAAAAAATCCACGAATTTATGAGTCCACGAAACTGTCTAATTTGTAGAAACAACGAAAATTGAACCCAACGAAAATAAATGAATCCACAGTACATCTGTGCTCCAAACACTGCCTGACCACTGTTGTTGTACTCCTGTATCCACTGTTAAGTCTTACTTACATCTATACTCCAAACACTGCCTGACCACTGTTGGTGTACTCCTGTTTCCACTGATAAGTCTTACTTACATCTGTGCTCCAAACACTGCCTGGCCACTGCTGGTGTACTCCTGTATCCACTGTTCAGTCTTACTTACATCTGTGCTCCAAACACTGCCTGGCCACTGTTGGTGTACTGCTGTATCCACTATTAAGTCTTACTTACATCTGTACTCCAAACACTGCCTGACCACTGTTGGTGTACTCCTGTTTCCACTGTTCAGTCTTACTTACATCTGTGCTCCAAACACTGCCTGACCACTGTTGGTGTACTGCTGTATCCACTATTAAGTCTTACTTACATCTGTGCTCCAAACACTGCCTGACCACTGTTGGTGTACTGCTGTATCCACTATTAAGTCTTACTTACATCTGTGCTCCAAACACTGCCTGGCCACTGTTGGTGTACTCCTGTGTCCACTGTTAAGTCTTACTTACATCTGTGCTCCAAGCACTGCCTGGCCACTGCTGGTGTACTCCTGTGTCCACAGCTTAAGTCTTACTTACATCTGTGCTCCAAACACTGCCTGACCACTGTTGTTGTACTCCTGTATCCACTGTTAAGTCTTACTTACATCTGTGCTCCAAACACTGCCTGGCCACTGTTGGTGTACTCCTGTATCCACTGTTCAGTCTTACTTACATCTGTGCTCCAAACACTGCCTGGCCACTGTTGGTGTACTCCTGTGTCCACTGTTAAGTCTTACTTACATCTGTGCTCCAAGCACTGCCTGGCCACTGCTGGTGTACTCCTGTGTCCACAGCTTCAGTCTTACTTACATCTGTGCTCCAAACACTGCCTGACCACTGGTGGTGTACCGCTTTATTCACTGTTAAGTCTTACTTACATCTGTGCTCCAAACACTGCCTGACCACTGTTGGTGTACTGTTGTATCCACAGCTTCAGTCTTACTTACATCTGTGCTCCAAACACTGCCTGACCACTGTTGGTGTACTGTTGTATCCACAGCTTCAGTCTTACTTACATCTGTGCTCCAAACACTGCCTGACCACTGTTGGTGTACTGTTGTATCCACAGCTTCAGTCTTACTTACATCTGTGCTCCAAACACTGCCTGACCACTGTTGGTGTACTGCTGTATTCACTGTTAAGTCTTACTTACATCTGTGCTCCAAACACTGCCTGGCCACTGTTGGTGTACTGCTGTATTCACTGTTAAGTCTTACTTACATCTGTACTCCAAACACTGCCTGACCACTGTTGGTGTACTGCTGTATCCACAGCTTCAGTCTTACTTACATCTGTGCTCCAAACACTGCCTGACCACTGTTGGTGTACTGTTGTATCCACAGCTTCAGTCTTACTTACATCTGTGCTCCAAACACTGCCTGACCACTGTTGGTGTACTCCTGTGTCCACTGTTAAGTCTTACTTACATCTGTGCTCCAAACACTGCCTGACCACTGGTGGTGTACCGCTTTATTCACTGTTAAGTCTTACTTACATCTGTGCTCCAAACACTGCCTGACCACTGTTGGTGTACTGTTGTATCCACAGCTTCAGTCTTACTTACATCTGTGCTCCAAACACTGCCTGACCACTGTTGGTGTACTGCTGTATTCACTGTTAAGTCTTACTTACATCTGTGCTCCAAACACTGCCTGACCACTGTTGGTGTACTGCTGTATTCACTGTTAAGTCTTACTTACATCTGTGCTCCAAACACTGCCTGACCACTGTTGGTGTACTGCTGTATTCACTGTTAAGTCTTACTTACATCTGTGCTCCAAACACTGCCTGACCACTGTTGGTGTACTGCTGTATTCACTGTTAAGTCTTACTTACATCTGTGCTCCAAACACTGCCTGACCACTGTTGGTGTACTCCTGTGTCCACTGTTAAGTCTTACTTACATCTGTGCTCCAAACACTGCCTGACCACTGTTGGTGTACTAATGTGTCCACTGTTAAGTCTTACTTACATCTGTGCTCCAAGCACTGCCTGGCCACTGCTGGTGTACTCCTGTGTCCACAGCTTAAGTCTTACTTACATCTGTGCTCCAAACACTGCCTGACCACTGTTGGTGTACTCCTGTGTCCACTGTTAAGTCTTACTTACATCTGTGCTCCAAACACTGCCTGACCACTGTTGGTGTACTGCCGTATCCACTGCTGAAGCTGTGGTATGTACTTCTTTATCTCCTCCATCACCTCACCTTCTGTTACACCGATTCCATACCTGTTAAACATTTGTGACCATTAATAACCTTGTTTGTGATGCATTTCATATTAAAAACATGATGGTGATAATAATTATTATCTGTATGTGTCTAAGATTGATTTATTTTAAGGATAACACTCTGTAACAGAATCTCACACCAGGCAGCCAAACTACTGTAGAAAGTCAGTATAGTTTTGAGTATAATATAAACATACATGGATAATAGATTCCTTTCTTCATTAATAAACCTAAAATTTGGACAAAAACTTGTTTCTTTTCCAAATTCTATATGTGACTAATGAGGTTCACAGGTATCTGTTATATGTCAGAAAGACAATTTTATATGATGCTTTTTTGAAAATGACATCAATTAAATATTTTCTTTTGATATGACATCCAGAGGAGACTACTGTTTTTAGACACTAGATAGACCTGACAGAAAATTTCACATCCAGTCTGGAAAGTGCTTGAGCTGTATTATTTTAATATTAATAATAACTTGGTTTAAAACTTATTTCAATTTTTTTCTATTAATTACCCTCCTGGCCCAAATAGAAGCATGCAAGGGGTATGTATATTATTGTAAGACCTCCCTATCAAGGCTTTTACTAAAACCTGTTTATAATGAATTATATTGGACCAGAGAAAATGGTTTGTGATAGATGTAATTTGTTATAAGGATTAAGCAGCTATTAAAATCGTTCTCAATGAATAAAGGAACACAAATATACAGGCAAGTATCAAAACATTTGATTCAATTTTTTTTCTCAAAACTATCAGTGTTCAACTATTCAGCATGTTGAATAGTCCAGGTTACAATTGTAACAAAGGTCATTATTTATTTCAATGCCTCTGCTAGGAAGCGAACCCGGGACCCCTGGCTTACTAGTCTGACGTTCAACCAATCGAGCTAAAGAGAAGGTCTCTCTAGCCTAGTCGTATATTATGGCTAGTATTTTACCAGGGTTACAAAATGCATTCTAAAACATCCTCAGTTCTTATCAAAATAACATGTCATCGTCGTTGTCTTTGTCACCATCTGGTTCATTCTTCACTATACATGTGATCAAAGTGACAGGTCATCGTCGTTGTCTTTGTCACTATCTGGTTCATTCTTTACTATACATGTGATCAAAGTGACATGTCATCGTCGTTGTCTTCGTCACCATCTGGTTCATTCTTTACTATAATGTGATCAAAATAACATGTCATCGTCGTTGTCTTTGTCACTATCTGGTTCATTCTTTACTATACATGTGATCAAAGTGACATGTCATCGTCGTTGTCTTCGTCACCATTTGGTTCATTCTTTACTATAATGTGATGATCTCATTGTTATCGTCATTGTCTTTGTCACCATCTGGTTCACTGATTACTATACATGTGATGATATCATTGTTATCGTTAGAGGTTACAACATTATCATTGATATTGACATAATCATCCACGCTTCACTCTCTATTTTTAGAACACCATTCCACAGAATTTTCCCTAGGGAAAAGCAGTTATTAATGCATTCATCATCATTATTAAATTACAAATTGTAATGTACCTTTTTTGGCCCAGCTTTCACTTTCAAAGAGAGATTAGTAACAGCAGTTCTGGAAATTTGCTATAGGTACAAGTATTTTCAGTGATAGGACTCAAATTCCACTTTATATCAACAGAAAATTTGTCATATGCAAATTTGTTATGTATTTACGAAGTCAGCAATGTTATCAAAGCGCTAAATTCAGGGATAAAATTTATATCTTAATAACTGAAAATTTATATCAACTCTGTTCATCTAATGAGGAATTTAATGTATTTTATTAAAGCTAACAGCAAATACCTCAAGCCAGATATCATTATGAATACCTCAAGCCAGATATCATTATGAATACCTCAAGCCAGATATCATTATGAATACCTCAAGCCAGATATCATTATGAATACCTCATGCCAAATATTATTATGAATTCCTCAAGCCAGATATCATTATGAATACCTCAAGCTAAATATTATAAAAATTTGATTGTTATTTTAGGGAACACTTACATATCATGGACAAACTTGCTTTGCTTTGTGACAAATTCAGCTTCTTCTAAAATCCTAGCTTCATCATTTATCTGCTTTTTCAAGACCTAGAATGTAAAAAAAAAATCATTGAATATATTCAGTAACTATTTCAATGTTTTGTTCTTACTGGGTAAACTGTCATAGAAGTTATATGAGGACAATCAAATTAAAACACACATTAACATGGCAGAATAAAAATGGGATCAATGATTGCAAGTATTATGTGATGACTTTAACTGAAGGAAATATCAGAACTTGAAAACCTAAATATCAGAAACATCAGCAGGGGACATAACTCTGTTGGTACAGAGTGCATACTTTTGGAAAGTGACACTCCTTCATTGCAAACAAACAAACACTTTGGCCAGTCTAGAAGTGTTTAGAAAAACTGCTCTGAACAATGTGACAGAAAAAAAATGAAAAAGGGCCTTAACTCCACAAAAGGTCTTTTCTATCTACTAATCATTTACACACCAAGCATTATCAAAGCTGCCTTTAGCAGACTAGAATTTAATACTACTCCTGTTGAAGTAACTTAATTTAGACATGAAATTTTAAAAAACACTAATATGAAAAAACCCATTTTTTTTTTAGAAAACATTTAAAACACTGAACAAATCTAAAATTATGATACTCCAAAAATTAGAAAATAAATAAATAAATAAATGTCAAAGAAGAACTGAATGTATATGTATAAAAAAAATTAACGAATATAAACAAAAACACTTAACAAATTAAAAAAGAAAACCATTGAACAAATATATAAAAATCACTTAACAAATATAGATTAAGAAAGCATAAAAAAAAACTCAATTAAAATAACAAAAAATATGTAAGATAATAAATAAACAGATAATAGGTATTGAATTAAGAAATTTACCTGTTGAAACAAACAGTGTATGATACTTCCATAGAGCATTTGGACATTTCCTTTATCACAACCCTGAAACAGTAAAATAAAATATCTGATCACAACCCTGAAACAGTAAAATATCTGATCACAACCCTGAAACAGTAAAATATCTTATCACAACCCTGAAACAGTAGAATATCTCATCACAACCCTGATATAGTAAAATATCTGATCACAACCCTGAAACAGTAAAATATCTGATCACAACCCTGAAACAGTAAAATATCTCATCACAACCCTGAAACAGTAAAATATCTCATCACAACCCTGAAACAGTAAAATATCTCATCACAACCCTGAAACAGTAAAATATCTGATCACAACACTGAAACAGTAAAATATCTTATCACAACCCTGAAACAGTAAAATATCTCATCACAACCCTGAAACAGTAAAATATCTTATCACAACCCTGAAACAGTAAAATGAAACAGTAAAATATCTTATCACAACCCTGAAACAGTAAAATATCTCATCACAACCCTGAAACAGTAAAATATCTGATCACAACCCTGTAACAGTAAAATATCTCATCACAACCCTGAAACAGTAAAATATCTTATCACAACCCTGTAACAGTAAAATATCTCATCACAACCCTGAAACAGTAAAATATCTCATCACAACACTGAAACAGTAAAATATCTCATCACAACCCTGAAACAGTAAAATATCTCATCACAACCCTGAAACAGTAAAATATCTGATCACAACACTGAAACAGTAAAATATCTCATCACAACCCTGAAACAGTAAAATATCTCATCACAACCCTGAAACAGTAAAATATCTCATCACAACCCTGTAACAGTAAAATATCTCATCACAACCCTGAAACAGTAAAATATCTGATCACAACCCTGAAACAGTAAAATATCTGATCACAACCCTGAAACAGTGAAATATCTGATCACAACCCTGAAACAGTAAAATATCTGATCACAACCCTGTAACAGTAAAATATCTGATCACAACCCTGAAACAGTAAAATAAAAATATCTGATCACAACCCTGTAACAGTAAAATATCTGATCACAACCCTGTAACAGTAAAATATCTGATCACAACCCTGAAACAGTAAAATATCTCATCACAACCCTGAAACAGTAAAATATCTGATCACAACCCTGAAACAGTAAAATATCTGATCACAACCATGAAACAGTCAAATATCTGATCACAACCCTGTAACAGTAAAATATCTGATCACAACCCTGTAACAGTAAAATATCTGATCACAACCCTGTAACAGTAAAATATCTCATCACAACCCTGAAACAGTAAAATATCTGATCACAACCCTGAAACAGTAAAATATCTCATCACAACCCTGAAACAGTAAAATATCTCATCACAACCCTGAAACAGTAAAATATCTGATCACAACCCTGAAACAGTAAAATATCTGATCACAACCCTGTAACAGTAAAATATCTGATCACAACCCTGAAACAGTCAAATATCTGATCACAACCCTGAAACAGTAAAATATCTCATCACAACCCTGAAACAGTAAAATATCTGATCACAACCCTGATATAGTAAAATATCTTATCACAACCCTGTAACAGTAAAATATCTGATCACAACCCTGAAACAGTAAAATATCTGATCACAACCCTGAAACAGTAAAATATCTGATCACAACCATGAAACAGTCAAATATCTGATCACAACCCTGTAACAGTAAAATATCTGATCACAACCCTGTAACAGTAAAATATCTGATCACAACCCTGAAACAGTAAAATATCTGATCACAACCCTGTAACAGTAAAATATCTGATTACAACCCTGAAACAGTAAAATATCTGATCACAACCCTGTGACAGTAAAATATCTGATCACAACCCTGTAACAGTAAAATACCCTGAAACAGTAAAATATCTGATCACAACCCTGAAACAGTCAAATATCTGATCACAACCCTGAAACAGTAAAATATCTGATCACAACCCTGAAACAGTAAAATATCTGATCACAACCCTGTAACAGTAAAATATCTGATCACAACCCTGTAACAGTAAAATATCTGATTACAACCCTGAAACAGTAAAATATCTGATCACAACCCTGTAACAGTAAAATATCTTATCACAACACTGAAACAGTAAAATATCTGATCACAACCCTGAAACAGTAAAATATCTGATCACAACCCTGTAACAGTAAAATATCTCATCACAACCCTGATATAGTAAAACATCTGATCACAACACTGAAACAGTAAAATATCTGATCACAACCCTGAAACAGTAAAATATCTGATCACAACCCTGTAACAGTAAAATATCTGATCACAACCCTGAAACAGTAAAATATCTCATCACAACCCTGAAACAGTAAAATATCTTATCACAACCCTGAAACAGTAAAATATCTGATCACAACCCTGTAACAGTAAAATATCTGATTACAACCCTGAAACAGTAAAATATCTGATCACAACCCTGTGACAGTAAAATATCTCATCACAACCCTGTAACAGTAAAATATCTCATCACAACCCTGAAACAGTAAAATATCTTATCACAACCCTGAAACAGTAAAATATCTGATCACAACCCTGAAACAGTAAAATATCTGATCACAACCCTGAAACAGTAAAATATCTGATCACAACCCTGAAACAGTAAAATATCTGATCACAACCCTGAAACAGTAAAATATCTTATCACAACCCTGAAACAGTAAAATATCTGATTACAACCCTGAAACAGTAAAATATCTTATCACAACCCTGAAACAGTAAAATATCTGATCACAACCCTGAAACAGTAAAATATCTCATCACAACCCTGAAACAGTAAAATAAAAATATCTGATCACAACCCTGAAGTAAAAAAATAATACAACCCTGAAATTAATATTAAAACAAAGGATGTTCATAAAAAATGAGAATTTACAGAGCCATTAAATTGTGAGTTAATAAATGCTTGTTTACAGTTGAACACCAATGCCACTATATAAACTAACCAGAAAGATGTGAGATTTATGGGACTGTAAATGCCATTCAATGTGTGACCATTATGACTACAGTATACTAAGAGTGAAGATTGTTTGCCAAAATGGTTATTCCCCTTGACAGATTACACTGTCACTTACTCAAATTAAACCATCTTATAATAGCCACAAGACTTTAAACTGGGAATTTAAATGTTAAAATTGTACTGTCTGATTTTAGAATTTGCTAAATGAACATTTAAAAGACAAATACACCATATTGCACAGAATGCAACATAATGTCTTCATCAAAGCTCTGGCATTTATGAAATTCATAAATACCATAACAGACGATGCTTAATTACGTAATATTCATACTGGTGAAAACACAGATATGAGTAAAGAATGTCATGTTTTATATTTGGTGTACCATAGTCATTTCAGATCAATTTGAGTTGAAGAGATAATGTCCAAAAATGATTTCTTCATGTTTTTTTTATTATAATTTATCTATTTAACAAATATCCAGTATATCAGAGACATAGTGCAGCATATCTCCTTGTGATATGTATAAGAAATCTACTTACTTTAAACTTTTCATTCAGTATAGACCTGAAATCAAACCAAATCAGATTAAATATCATCAGACATCCAACAGGGGAAGGCATCTTGGACAAATTGTTCTCACAACCTTGTTTCCAACCATTTCCCTCTGATCCTTCGTTAGTAGTGAACCAAAATTACTTTTACCTCACTGTAAACATAAATAAACAATCAAACCTCATCATCTCATAGTCAATGAATCCGTGTAAGAATTCAATTAAATCGAGTTCCAACGATTGGTGTGAAGTGTGACTGATGAAATACTTCTGATTTAACAGTGTCTTCGAGTCACAGTTTGAGATAACGAGGTTCAACTGTACTTAATTTAGTGTGATCAAATGATAAATCCCTCTATCAGTAGTAATTGCTTTATATAAACCATATACAGAAGTGACAGTTAAAGCAATCATATGTAAATGCTATACTTTATAAAATAACTAATTAAATGACTAATTTTGCTTATGAAGCAAAGTAAAGAATTTTCAATTTGACCTGTAAAGCAAAGAGAAAACTTCAAGTCAAGTTTTATCAATTTGTAAAGTAGCTACGGTTTGATATTACTTACTTTCTCATGCAGAAAACACCGGACACGACTGAAGTCCCAGAGAGGAGACGATCAGGATTCACAACTATCAGTCCTGACTTGTCTGTGATGTGGCAGGTCATGTGATCATCAAACTGACCAATCACATGCACTATATCTCCCTCTGTGATGTGGGTGTCGCACCTGTCACAAAGAAGTATCATGATGTTTTTCATGTTTAAAATGCAATGATATTGAAAAGCAAATACCAAACGGGCAAAATTGCATTGAGAAAACTTAATATTATATGATTTTAGTTCCTGGTATCAAAACATTAATATGACTTGGTCAAACTATCAGATATTTTGCTTTCCACACCAAATGACCAAATTATAACATAATCATTTATAAATAGACCCTGGAACCTGAATAACAGTATGTCTTATGTATGATTTCATGACACGAGTTGACAGCTCCGTTTCAGGTTATAGCTGACACACTATGGTATCAGATATGGTAAATCCCTTTAAATACTGATAGGTTCATGTTATTGTTGGGAAATCAGATACAACAAGGGGTCCTTTGGCTTCACAATTATCTGTGTATAGATGTATTTAAAAATGAGTGAAACGTCACAGCAAAAATATAGCCCTACGTCCCAGATAGCCATCTGTAACTTATCCTGATCTGGGCTCCAAATCATCATTTGAATATATCTGAATACCCTCTCATTGAAAACAGGTCAAAAACATTCACTTAAACTATTGATACTAAATATCTGATTTACAGATGATGAGATGCTCTGACCCTAGATTTTAAAATCCAAAAGGAACAGTATGGACATACGTAGAATTACTAGAACAACTTGTACACTGTGTTGGTCTATATCCCTGCTGACTACTGACCAAGTATTGTCCTTTTCTTCAATAAATCAATTATTTCTTTTCAGTGACTGTTCTATATCTCAAGCAGTCAGATATCATGATCTTGTGCACTATAATTCTTACAAAGCAGACAACAATAACTGATAACAAACAACATAAACATCAAACCAAGGAGAAGTAGCCGGTATTACCATACACGGTATTACCATACACGGCTCCAAATTTCTTGTTCACCCTGTTGCTATTTGGACAAAACATTTTCGAAGCTGAAATATAATACTTGTATGTGATTAGAATGAATCTAATATACAGGTAGACATACAAATAGACAGACTGATAGAAGAACAAATGGATGGACAGATGGATGGACAGATGGATGGACAGAAGGATGGACAGATGGATGGACAGATGGATGGACAGAAGAACGAATCAAATGAAAGTTTGTCCTACCAGAAACCTTCCAGGATGCAAGTTCTTGCCATCTGATCTGTGAAATCTTCTAACTCCAAAGTAACGCTATCTCTGAAAAATTAACAGATATTTTTATAAGAGACCAAATTATGCAACATTTTATAATTTTTAAATCATAACCTCAGACCACAAATACTAAGGAAAACATGAAGTATGCCTCCAGAAGTTATCACAGAAATCTTAAATAATCTACAAAATCTAACATCTATATATATTTCTAAAATCTTGTGTGTGGTAACTTCAGGACTGCAGAATTCAGTGCGGTATTTCCTATTGTAACCAATCTACAGATTCGACGTAAACATATTACCTGCAAATAGATAAGCTTTCTTCTCGACCTCTCCTAGCTTCTCAAATGTAAAAAAGTGAACTTCTTTCTCCATCTCCATTATAGTTTTCCCCATTTTACTGGTAATATCAATTTTTTTGTTTTCAATGTAATAACATCCATTATTGTAATTCTGTTAAGCCTACATGTGTAATAACACCTTTTTGTGATTGGCTGAAGGTTCGAATCACATATTAAGTATGATTCCATGTCTTCATCAAAGAAATATATATATAATGAGAAGCCTACAATTGTTTGTATATGTTTAACTTCATTCTATACCTGAATTATGTGATAAACAGAAGTTTGCATTTTGTTTCCATTTCTAATTATATAATTTACAAAACAAGTCGAAGAATTATTTTCATCTTCATCATCGGGCTCAAACAGTCCCATAAATCTTATGTGACAAGGAAAGTTGGGTAATTAAGATGATGGTTCCCTTACGGGCCAATCATTATCACAAAGAACATCATGTAAGGATTAACTGGAATATCTACAAAAATACACAAAAGAGATAGGTGTGCTTGTTACCTAACCTAGATTTTGAGTTGTCTGTCAAAGAAAGACTTCTTCCCAATTTTTCTAATTTTTAAATTTTTCAAAAATTTTCCCCAATTCTTAAAGGTACAGCCTGCTATAAAAACCAAGGGAGAAAGAAAACACTGCCTGGGTAGCTTATTGTCAGTAGATGTGGTATGTTTTAGAATCACTAAGGCATATCTACAATTAGCAAATTGATGAAAATTTTATATCCAACTTGCAGCATCACAAAATTTTTCCTTAAAATGTCTCACCTGCTTATGATCACCTTCTTCACTGTATGACGACCAAAGTGGACACATGGCGGGTGGACCTCAACCCTGTTAGATACAGATGTTGTCAATAATTGATATCATTACAGAGTTAGGAAGTACAGTATTATTTCTATCTTCTCACTACTGGTGATTTCATCTCTATACCCAGTAAACATCACATATACTGCTTAATAAGAAAACTTTTCAGAGGATTTCCTTTAATGATTTTATAAATCCCTTGTTTAAATGACAATTGCCAACAAAATCGGCAATTTCTTAAGAAGAAGTTGTTTAAATAATTCAATACATTTTACCTCTGTGACCTTGAAAGTGAGTCAAGGTAATTCAATTTAACATACTTGGTAGCCCTTCATCCCATCATGCCTCAGGACCCATATCACAGACCTGGGCCTTTTGGTTATTGAGAAGAAATTGTTTAAATATTTCAATTCATTTTACCCCTGTGACCTTGAAAGTGGGTCAAGGTAATTCAATTTAACATACTTGGTAGCCCTTCATTCCATCATGCCTCAGGACCCATATCACAGACCTGGGCCTTTTGGTTATTGAGAAGAAATTGTTTAAATATTTCAATTCATTTTACCCCTGTGACCTTGAAAGTGGGTCAAGGTAATTCAATTTAACATACTAGGTAGCCCTTCATCCCATCATGCCTCAGGCCCCATATCACAGACCTGGGCCTTTTGGTTATTGAGAAGAAGTTGTTTGAATGGAAAGTTTATGCATAACATACAATGACAAACAGAGCACTATGGTTATAGGTCAGATGACCTAATAACAATCTTTACAGTACTAACAACACAGGAAGAGATTATTTGAAACTGTGTATGTTGTGATTAGAGATTAAAATAAACTTACTGGTGTGCTTCAGCCTCTGATTTAAATGGTGTGAGGTGATCAAACACCTCACACAGTTCCTGACTCTCAGTCTGGGTCTGGACATCCTCAATATCAGTGCCTTGATCCCCTGTATGTTTGACAGATATCTGACTTGGAAAGTCATTAATATTCTGAGTTGCTCGAATGATTGCAGGATCTGGTGTCACACATCTCTCAATATTTGGGGTCAAAGTTTGAGGGGTCACACACCTCTTGGGTTCAGGGGTCAAACATTGCATCATCAATTCTAATCCAAAATCAGTTTCCATCAATTCATCTGAGAACTGATTTCCTGGTACACTTGCTGCATTTTCTTTTAATTTTAATTTTATCGAAGATTTTTTCAACTTGGGTATTATAGGTGTAAAGAGTTGTGACGACTGTCTTGCATTGTCAAGATGGCTACAAGTGTTCTTCGAGTCTGCTTCCTCACCGACACAAGCATGGATACCACTATCTAGGTCATTGAAATACTTTAATTCTTCCTCTGTGAAGGACATGTCTGTTGACAGCGACCTACAATTTTCCAGCGTTTTAGAGATTTAATCATTTATTGAAAAAAAAAGTGAATTAGAAGGTGTCACACAGAATAAAAATATTTTAGCAATAAAGCATTAAATATAGGAATTCACCTCATAAAATATTCCCATTTTACAGTTAAAATCCACATTTTCTGTCTTGTAAGATATTTTACAATCAAAATCCACATTTTATGTCTTGTAAGATATTTTACAATTAAAATCTACATTTTCTGTCTTGTAAGATATTTTACAATTAAAATCCACATTTTCTGTCTTGTAAGATATTTTACAGTTAAAATTCACATTTTCTCTCTTGTAAGATATTTTACAGTTAAAATCCACCTTGGTTCAGACCTCCGCACTCATTACAGAACAAAAACAGCGTATTTAAGTATAAGACAATGAAAGTTTACCTTGGTTATAAACATTTTAACTGTTGTCATACCTACCTATCGCTGGCATCAACAGACTTTCGTTGTTTATATGTTCCAGCCTGCCTCTTCTTTAGTTTAACTTTTGAATTCGAGCCAAAATCTTGCTCCTTTTGAACTGACTGAAGTTTTTGCTCTCCATCTTTCACTACATAATTGCCTGCAGTCTTTGATTTTGTGTCTGTAATTTCGGACCGAGATAGGCTCCTTGATGTCTCCAAACTTACTGGAATGTCCAATGACATGAGACCTACATTCATTGGACTGTCTGACAAACCACGCCTTTCAGGTTTTTGATTTGGAGTTTTTACCAACTCTTGAAGTATTTCTCCGAGAACATCATCCGATTTAACTCCGTCAGTAGTGGTTTTATGCTGAGACCTCTTTGACCTACTACCACCCATCTGATATCCAAGTTGTCGAGATAAATTCATGGAACCATTTTCACATGTTTTCTTCACAGATGATGTATTCTTCGAACCTTCTCCATTGGGCTGTACACTTGTGTTCCTTCTAATTTCAGATTCTCTTTGTTTCAGCACACTCTTACTTGACACAAACTCGGCTTTTGAACCAAAAAGATATAATTTTTTTTTCACTTTTTCCTTTTCATTGTTACTGGTAATATCATGTATCTGTTTAATTTCATCACTATTGTCTCCTTCCATCACTTCCTCAAATACCTGCCACTGTGTTTTCCCAGATCTTTTAGGGTCCGGAGAAAGTCCTGATTTACTCATCCTTTTAATGGCAGGAATATTAGAATCATAAATCTTCACTGGAGTCTGTGAAGGTTTACTTCCATTTTCTGCATAATTGTTGTAAGAATTGTTTTTCTCCGTACATTTTTCAGAGTTATCTGCCTTTATCTGCTCTTCATCCCCTATTACATTCCTTGTTTTATTCATGACCTCTGACATGACATGAGCATTTGTGGCCTTAGTTTCAACTTTTTGTTGTTGTGCAAGATAAATATCAACTAATTTTGCTTCTCTTTCAGAGAATTCTGAATCTTCATTTTCATCCTCAATATCACTGTCTACTACCTTATCACAAGAATTTTCAGACAGGAACTTTTTAGGAGTTTCAGAATTAAAGTCCACTGAAACAGACAGAAGACTTATTTTGGCCTTAGAAAGTCCAGTTTTCATAGTTCTTATAGGTTTTACACGAGGAACTATACCACCTGGTTTAGATAAATTTGATGGACCCGTCAGGAAACTGCGACAAAAGATTTTCTTTCGTTGGTGAATCTTTGCTTCATTATCATCTGGAGTATCAGGAATAATTAGATCAGAGCTGACATCGAGATCGCTGGTTTCTGTACCAAGAGGACCTCGTTTTGAACTTGGACTAAACAAAATCTGAGTTTCTGGGATAATAATAACATCCTGATCTTCACACACACCAAATTTACTCTTTGCTGACTGGTCAGTGTTTTTGTTCACAGGCTTGACCTTTGACCTCTGTATAACAGAATTTAGGTCCTTTCCTGCTACTTTCACAGGTTTCTTCACAGAGAGTTTATCTGATGTTGATGATGATGGTTTTCCAAGCTCAGTGAATAAAACTTGATCTTTGACTTTAGGACATCCAGCCTGTTTAAAATAAAATCTGATAACAATGAAGAAAAATCACATAGACTCTTCATTTCTTACCTTTGTCAGCAGATATGTTATTTCTAAGTAACAAAGGCAGGAATACAATGCTATATGGGCGCTGTGAGAATCAAAACTAATAAGGATCTTTTCCTTTGTTCTCTTTGGATAACTTGTTCTCACAAAATCATCTCTTTATCTTTTTTTAAAACAAAAACATCTCCATTACACTTTACAAAAGACAAGAAATCTATCTTAACATCCATCACTTATGATATTTTTTATTGAAAAATCATTAACTTCCTTTCATGGGAACTCTTAATCCACGAATTCAGATGCTGACGAACTGTTCAAATTAGTATGTCCACGTAGAATGATTCATGGAGTTATACATATTGATGATTTTAAATGTCCACAAAAAAAAATAATGATAATAACAGGAAAATTGAGCTCCATCATATTGATAGATGAATTCTTAATAAATTAAATTATGATATGATAAATCAATAATACACAACACAGGACCAAGGGAAACCTACATATGTAATAGGAGAAAGATCCATGACATGCTCCTGAAATACTAGTGGATTTTAAAGAAATACCGATGACATTCTCCAGAAATACTGATGAATTTTCAAGAAATACTGATGACATTCTCCAGAAATACTGATGAATTTTCAAGAAATACTGATGACATTCTCCAGAAATACTGATGAATTTTCAAGAAATACTGATGACATTCTCCAGAAATACTGATGAATTTTCAAGAAATACCGATGAAATTCTCAAAAAATACTGATGAATTTTCAAGAAATACCGATGACATTCTCCAGAAATACTGATGAATTTTCAAGAAATACTGATGACATTCTCCAGAAATACTGATGAATTTTCAAGAAATACTGATGACATTCTCCAGAAATACTGATGAATTTTCAAGAAATACCGATGAAATTCTCAAAAAATACTGATGAATTTTCAAGAAATACTGATGAATTTTAGAGAAATACTGAGGGCGTTTTCAAGAAATACTGATGACATTCTCAAAAAATACTGATGACATTTTAAAAAAATACTGAGGACATTCTCGAGAAATACTGATGAAATTCTCAAAAAATACTGATGAAATTCTCAAAAAATACTGATGAATTTTAGAGAAATACTGAGGGCGTTTTCAAGAAATACTGAGGACGTTTTCAAGAAATACTGATGACATTCTCAAAAAACACTGATGAAATTCTCAAAAAATACTGATTAATTTTAGAGAAATACTGAGGGCGTTTTCAAAAAATACTGATGACATTCTCAAAAAATACTGATGAATTTTAGAGAAATACTGATGAATTTTTGGAGAAATACTGATGAATTTTGAAGAAATACTGATGAATTTTAAAATACTGAGGACGTTTTCTAGAAATATTGATGACATTTTCAAGAAATACTGATGACATTCTCAAGAAATACTGATGAATTTTCAAGAAATACTGATGAATTTTAAAATACTGAGGACGTTTTCTAGAAATATTGATGAAATTCTCAAAAAATACTGATGAAATTTTCAAGAAATACTGATGACATTCTCAAGAAATACTGATGACATTTTCAAAAAATACTGATGACATTCTCCAGAAATACTGATGAATTTTCAAGATATACTGATGAAATTCTCAAAAAATACTGATGAATTTTAAAGAAATACTGATGAATTTTAAAATACTGAGGACGTTCTCAAGAAATACTGATGAAATTCTCAAGAAATACATGAATTTTCAAGAAATACTGAGGACGTTTTCAAGAAATACTGATGACATTCTCAAGAAATAATGATGATAAATCAGTCCTCCATGATATATGAACATGGTGGTACTAAGTATTGTACTTGGTCACTGATGTATTCACCTTGAAGAAGTTGGATATCTTTGGTTGTTGCACCGGTTCTTCCTACAGGCAATAAAAATATACAATATCACATGTATTAGAAGTAAAGTATGTCTCTAATCTTCCCTACCAGCAATAAAAATACAGTCATATAACTTATATGGGTTTTCCAAGTGATTTTATACAAGTGACATGAACTTTAATATTGCACTTACAAATTACTAACAAAATAAAATACAGTGAAATTTATCCTTTAATGTCACATACACGTTTACCTTATGCTGTTTTCCCTTCACAGTCCTGCCCATCTTTTTAGTATACCAATTGATTAATTATAAGGTCAGGTTTCATCAAAAGTGAAGATCAAGTCTCATGTTCAGGTCATCATAACTAAAAGGTGAAAAAAAAGCAGCACATAGTGATATATCCAAAAGGTGTTACACATCATTTCCAGAAATAAAAATATTCAATAACAGCTCTTAGGGAAGGTATTTTAAACTCCCAGAACAGGGAAAAAGGACACTTTAATTGATTATCATATTGTGAGCTGAGCTTTGTCTCTATAACATCTGTTAATAATGTTAAGAACAGATGATGACAAATGTAAATATCATGGTGTGTAGTTTGTAAATGCATTATGATTGGTGGTAGTGATGATGATGATGATGATGATGATGATGATGATGTGATGACAAATGTAAATATCATGGTGTGTAGTTTGTAAATGCATTATGATTGGTGGTAGTGATGATGATGATGATGATGATGATGATGATGATGATGATGATGATGATGATGATGATGATGAATTTACATGTTTATGTGTGTAGTGTGTGCATGTATTATGATGTAAAACGATATGTGTGGACAATAATGTTTATTTTCAATTGAATATCGAAATAGTCTTGTATGTGATTTTCATGATATCCGTCCATGAATGTGAGAGAGGTTGATGTTGTCTTTTGTATGTGAATCATATGCATTGAAAATTAAAATATCTGCAAAAGAAAATTAATACTTACAAAGAAAATTAATACTTACAAAGAAAAAGTTAAAGGACATTATTGACTTTTTGAGGATTTACTTTAAAGTTCAACACATCTTCTCATTTTCTCCCCTGAACTAAAAGATAAGTGTCTCACAAGTCATAAAATGACATAAGAACACAACCATTTCCCAAAAATTTGAAAGAAAAAAAAATGAAATATATGTTGTCTGTTGTCAATTTACCATATAATGTAAAGCCAAAATGTCAATTGGTCATGCACAAAATGTTTTTTAGTAATTAATGACAAGATCGAATACTGGTTTGGTTTCTTTGTAAATTGTATAAAAAGAAGTCTCTTCTACCATGCACCTCCACCATTTATCAACTACTAATAGTGTGGCTAAAAATAGAAGGTAGATAAATTCATGCTCACCTATGACATTTACTCTCACTGGCTATACAGGCGAGTCAATGAAGAAAAAAGTCAGCGATGAATTGTCATTTCAACACAAAGTTGGATAACAGAAATGAAGATTTCTTATGCAGTTATATACACACCGTATCATTGACTATTGGGTCATGTTGAAAAAATGACGCCTTTTTTGTTGCAAGTTTTTAAACAAACTTTAAATCACGTGTTTATTTCTTAGAATGACACCGAATTTGAATAACTAATTACTCAAATGCAGATCTATTACCCAGTTATGGTTATCTGCCTAACTTGTTCACAATAAAATGTTATTTGGTAGGCATGAAAAAGAGCTCGAGTAGTCTGAGAGACATAAAACTTGATCAGCTAATGATCGTCGTGTTGAAGACTGTTGCTCCAGGTGCTAGTTTTGGAAATATATTAAAATCGATTACAAAGATATCTAATTAACAAAAACAAAAACAATCCAGTTCCATCAAATGAAACTCAAAAAGTAAAATGAATAAAAAAAAATTGTAGGATGTTATGTGAGTGAAACCTGAAGTTTACCGATATTTGCAAAGTCCGCCAAAGATATTTATGCGCCTCTATTTAAAAAAGAGTTCCAATACACTTTCGATGTATTAAGGTTACTTGAATATGGCTTCTAGCTGTAAACGTCAAAGACTCACATAAATATAATATCTACTTAAAATTTGAAAAGAATAACCTTGATAAACTAATAGTTAATTGAAATGGGTTTTTTTCTAAATGTGTTTATACGGACAAACTGAAGGTTTCAATCGAAATTAAAAGTTCAGGCATAACTCAGGATGGACCTGTAAATATTAATATCTTGAAAATGGATATTCGTCAGAAAGCAAAACAAGATCAGTAGATCCTCTCTTATTTCATAAAGGAACAACGTTAACCCTAGTCAAACAATTCGAACTAATTTAAGCGAAGACGAATATTCAACGCATCGAACGCACCCAGCCAGTGCTAAGCGCATATATGACATCGAAATTATGATCTGAGTCTAGAAATGATTGTGTGATATCAGCCAGTGTATGTGATGTGGTTGAAAGTCTCTGTTTTTATTTCGAGTGGATTTTCAAAGAAAATTGCCTGGAAAGGTAAGTTCACTTTTTTTTTTATTAAACTAGTTTTTGTTTTATAAACAGAGTTCAAGTGTAAACTCAGCTTTTCATCTGATCATGTAACAGACGACACATGAATTGAGCTGTCATTTTCGACATTTTTGGACGGCTGACTCAGTCAGTCGGCGAACTGTGGAATAAATAAATGATACTCCTGACATCGTTGACCAAACGTTTATGTATCAACACAGTAATCCCTTAAATGGGAGAAAACTACTTGCTTCTAGATTATATTAGAAATCAGCTTTCCGATTTCGTTACACACTGTTGTCAGGAAAGAGAAGCGGTATAAGATAGGTGTAAGTAAGCAATTCGCGGAAAATTAATCCCCCGGACGTGAAAAAATGTGTTAAACCAAACATACCATGTTCTTTCTTCATATGCCTCGGAATTCCCAGAAGACAGTCGTATGTAATTTAATGTATTATGTTATAATACACACTATCTTATGTATAGTAAATTATAGATTGTGTTCTTAATGCTATATACACTTACTCTTATTTACATAGAGATCCAATGAGCATATTTTCAAGAATAAGGGATTTCAAAGTCCTCTTTAAGCTGC